TCAACTCTCTGAGGTTGAGGTAACATAAAAATATCTTGAGAGTTTTAAAATAGAACTTCATCTGTTTAGAATAATAGGATTACACAAATATTTTCCTTCCAGTAAGTCTGTGTATTCCTAAGAAATAGGGAAAAAAAACCAGCAACAAAATGTGGGCCATGTTTTAAGGCCCTCATTCCATAATGGTGGATTAAACTGTTAGTAGCATTATCTACACCAAGGTCAAGCTGTGTTTTGTAAGCTGTTTAAGGAGCAGCACAAACTTCTCAGTGTGAGATTTGCATCAACACAGGCACCTAAGGATATCAGTACTTGTACTTCTGTTTTTCTGTGAACTTTTTTTTTCTTGACGTGACAGTATTGTTCAGTTTCTAAGGAGGTCCAGAGTTTCTGTGGCTTGATTGTAATAAATAATTTAAATAGGTGTCATTCTTATCATTCCAGTGCTTCTTAATGCAGTACATCAATGAGCAAGGTGACTGAATTTTGATAAATGTTTTACATAAGTCGAATGCAAACCAGATGGAAGTTTGCATTACTGGGACTTTTAGGTAGGTTAATGCTATGTTATTCCACTCTGTGCCTTCAAAATACTGTTAGCAAGTTATATTTCTGGATATGGTCCACCTGACATAAGTCAATGCATTGGTACTGAAGACAGAACACTGATATTTTTATAGTAGATTGTAATGAAGAAAGTTCTGTGCTTCAGAAACGGCAAGTCATTCTAGTAAATAGTATTAAATAGGCATTTTTTTAAATTTTACACTGCTTCTATGTGAGTGGATTAGGGAGTTAAATGGGGTATATTTTATTTTAGTTTTCATTCCTACCTACTACTAATAGAAGGTACATGCTTATCATAAATGAACAATATTTTGTGTTTGTTTAGGAAGAACTGATTACTGAACATTTAAGTGGATGAATTTTTTTTTTAAATCCTAAATTCTGATTTCTTTATTTTGTGGTGATGAATTAATTACTTTCAGGCCATTGGCATGTTCACAGTTCTTCCATCTATAACCACTGTCTTTGTGAGCCAGTAGTCTTCTAATGTTTAACATCAAGAGTGTTTGATATGTCACCATATCATTGCAAAGTGTGACAATGAAAATAACATCAGTGGTGAGATTTTACGAATTCCTAAATGTTCAAAAGTAATTTATAAGCATAGTATGAGAAATTAATCAATAAGACAGGACGTTTGTAAAGATAAAGGATGATAGATGTTTATTTTATCAATTTTATGCTTGTAATGATGGGTTAAAAGGATAATTTCTGTTTGTTTGTTTGTTTTTTGTTTTGCTTTTGTTTTGTTTTTGTAAGGACTAAAAATATTACTTTTGATGGACTTGATTTACATAACATACAGGACTCAGAAGTGGTCACACAAAAAAAGTGAAACATTTAATTTGTATGAGATTAGATGAGAATACAATTATGTTAAACTGTGTAGTAGCTCTAGGTGTGTTTCCCTTTAAAAATATTTTCTTTGATTTCTCTTTTTTTAAGCTTCTGCTTTCAGGATTATTACATTTTTATATTAATTTAGACCATATCTACTGCAGAAATTTGAATTATCAAAATCTATGAATCCCTTTGTGGTTATGTGTAGAAGTCCTTGTTAATTTCTTATTCAGAAAAAACCTCATGAGTTCCATTTTGCCTATTTTTTGCTCTATATGTGGCCCTTACATGTGTATAAAAATGGTACAACATAAAGATAGTGAATATTTTATTTACTGATTAATTTTTTTTGTTTGTTTAAGAGTATGAGAATTAGCTTTCCTTATGCAACATGTACATTCTAAAGAAATATAGTCAATACACTTTTTGTAGTTCCCCATATCTTATTTTTATTTCTGCCACAAACTGAAGTTACATGTGTATAATAAGTTTAAAAATAGGTTGGAAGTATCTTGTGAAATGTAACAGGAAATCTACAGAGATATATTTTTATCTGGCATTTTCTGTAGTGGGCAAAAATGAGCATGTTGTGCCTTTCAGTTCCGTTTAAGAATGTTGGAGAAACTTGTAATCTGTCACAGTTTTAGTCATGTGCACATGTCAATCAGATGAATATATAATATATATTGCAATCATAACATATTTACAGACAGAGATACAGTTCTAAGAATAAAGTGAAATGAGTGGCAAACCTCCCCCCCCGCAATGAAACTGTACTTACAGAAGTTAAGGATTCTGAATTTGGATGCAGCAGTATTTTATGGCTGGGCCCACTGTACTCTGTTAAAGTGAGTGGTTTCTCAGTTATTTAATGAAAAATAATTACAATTAGGAGCAAAGATACATCACTAACACTAAAAGGTTGCTTCTCAATGGTAATGGATATGTAAGTTAAGGAAAAAGGAGAAGTAGAAATAAAGATCCATGAATAAATTTGGGATGTACTGCAGCATTGAAATTCTAGAAACAATTTTCCATCTAAATATTCAGGGAAAAGAAGTTTAACATATCAAGAAATTTTGTGAAATTATGCCTGTGATAATGCAGGTGTACTCAGCATGTAATAAGAAACTTCCAGGCCTATATTTTATTATTATGGACTGGATTAATGGAGAGCTTTAAGCATCTTGCTCATGACAACTAAGTAGTAACTCTCAATTCTTCATTTAATTCTGCTCTATGTGCATTTTTGTGCAAGGCGATGGAAGGAGGAACAAGACAGTAGTATCAATTTCATGGAAATTAGTAAGATTCTTCAACTGCCATAGAAAAAATGGGGAAAACAGCATCTAATTTAACAGATTTTTGGGGAGAAAAGATAATTTTCTAATTATTTTCTGTCTATTATTATGTATGGGTGCATCTACTAATGAGACAGAGCATGGGAATGTGATTTGGGTGTGAATTTCTCTTCAGTTTATGTTTGGAGTCCTTCTGTACATATTTCTGCACACCACTGAGCATTTTGAAGCACTGATTTGTTCCAGCGTTGTCTTTAGATTGTCATGTAATGCACAGCACTTGTGGTGCAGGTTCAAAGCCTTCCATCATTTTGCTCTCAGTGTGTGCCAAAGATTGGCAGGTAATGCAGGCTTTGTTGCTCTTAGGATGTAATGTATAGGGGCACAACAAATTGCATGGTCATCCTTCCCTTCGTACGCTGCATCAGGTGTACTGCAGGTAAAACAGACACACAGACTTCCATGACTGCTTGAAATTTAATGATGCAATATATTGCATTTGTGATAAAAAAGGTTCAACATTTTGTCTAGTATGTGCCAGGTAATTTGTTTTGCTTGTTTTAGCTTTTCTCTCACGATTTATGATTTGATTTGTTAACTGAAAAGAAAAAATATTATCAGTATCTGTCATACAAGAAAGCTCGAATTATAGAAGGTATATGTTACATCTGTGAACTTTTTCTGCCTCAGAAATACCTTATGAATGCACTGAATGCTCACTACTGTGTTTATATTTTGGAGAAAGATATTTAGAATGCATGTTAACAGATCCCCATTTATTGCATACTGGACAAATCTACTATTCCAGTGAATGTACTCTCCTTGAAGCTAGCAAAACTTAATTTTTATACAAATTCAAATAGCTGGAGTTTTGAGGTACTCAATGAACTTAAATGAAAGGTACAGATAGAGCAATAAAAACAGGTAGGTAGGTAGGTAGGTAGGTAGGTAGGTAGGTAGGTAGGTAGGTAGGTAGATATATAGATACATTACTTGTATTTTTAATTGAATATTTTGGCCTATTTAGTGTTTTTGCTGTTTTTTCAAGTTAAGTCAGTGTAAATTGAATAAAGTGTGTGTAATTTGGTTGGTGATGATGAAGAATTTTACTGAGGTGTAAATATATTTCTTCTGCAACCAAAACAGAATGTTTTGCTTCCTTGTCCCAGATGGCTTCCTTTAAGAAGATCAAATTTAGATTGAGGAGCAGACGTTATTATTTGAGGACATTTGGGAGTCTTTTATGGATTATGTTCATAGAGTAAAAGATGTTTTATAGAGATGCTTGACTTTGCTATCCTTTTGTGTAATTTGGTTTTAAATTTACATATGTGTAACAGATTAGAAGAAATGATTCATTAAAATAAGGATGCAGTAGTCAGTGATGTAAAATAAATATAAATTATTAATAAGTCAACAGTACTGGAAAAGCTGAAAAGACTGATGAAGGCCAATGAAATGTGTTATGTAAACAAAAAAATAATGGGTTAATGTTTTTTTTTTTGTGTGGATGACCCAAATCCAAGTGATATTTTAAATGCTGTTTCTGAAGAATATATTGGACAGAAACCTTCACTGTTTATCACTAGATGTGCATGTCTCTTTAGTGTCTCATTTCCTTCACAAGCATATTGATCAAGGTGATTCAAAGGAAGTAGGTTCTCCCCTAGTTCTCCATTTCATTATGTCCACCTTAGAGCAAGATAGTTGATATCTGACATTTGAAGAACATAGATGTTCATAGAATTGTCATTGTATACTGCATGTTACCCTTCAAATCTGGCTTGCTCACTCCATTTTGTCTGGTGATTGGGTGAGAGAGATGAAGGAAAAGATGAGTTGCCTGTTTGTTTTCTTGTAAAATTATTATTTTTTTCTTATTTCAACTCTCTGTAATGCACTATTTACCCCGCCATTTAATGAAGAAGAGTTATGCTCATCACTGATACATCTGTATTATTTTTTTACTCTGCAGTAACTCTGAGCAAGAAAAGGAAAAATTTATAAATCACTCCAATTTGTCTATAATTTAAAACCAGCCTGTTTCTGGGCATAGTTCATTTAATTTCTTCTTTTTCTTAAGAAATATGAAACAGTATGTTTCTGTTCATGTCTGTATGAAACAGACAGTTCTAACTATGTTTACTGACAAAATAATTATTCTATGGAATATGTTTGGACTTAAGGCAGAGAAATTTTTTGCTCACTAGTAAGATCCATGGTAAAGGCTTAAGTTAGCCAAACCCTACTCAGTGCCCGGTAAGCAGACATATATTTCTGTATTTTTTGTAGGTGGATACAGTGCAGACTACGCAGCACCCTGGCCACATTGAGGAATCATGTAAAATGAATGTATGTGCTCGTAAGTGAATTATTTATGAAATGACACTCCAACTCTAAGGGATGTTGGATCACAAAATCCATGAACTCTCTTTACTCTTATGTTAAGACATTGATTCCCAGGGGACAGGGTTACTGCAGAACTAAGTGGACCTTTAAAGCAAAGCTATTAGAAAAAAACCATGATAAATCACAATAAAAAATGCTGAAAACAAGAAATTCAGATTACATTTTGGATGCATTTGGAGAGATGGAGTAAAAAATCCAAAACAGGAAAACAAATGGTACACGAGAAAGGTTTGGTCAGCAGAACTGATTGTAAGTAGAGGAAGAAGATCAAATACTATCTAATTCAGGAATTTGAATAGGATGAAAACACTCACCATTTTCTTCTTTGTTCCAACTTTGAAAGGACTGAAATTTGATTAGATGATTTGTTGAATTAGTATCAGGGACATGAGTATGAACAAGTTTGAATTTTCAGTGTTTGAATCAATGAAATATTTGTGGTTTGCTAAAAAAACCAAAAAACAACCGTGATGATATGCTAGATAAACAAAGGAAAAAAACATACCTCATGACTGAAATTCTGGAAATACAGAAAGAGTCTCAGTATTTGAAAATCTTTGTCTTGCTGGGGGGCATGACAGCGAGTGTGGAAGAGGATTCAAGCCAAGAAGCAGTGTGTCCTTCAGGTTTTGCTGAGAGAAGTGGCTTGACAAGGATATTGAGGTAGATACAAAGAGGAAACCAAACATGCTAAATGACTATCAGCAAATAGGGAAATCAAGTCACTCACATGGGCCACATACAGTTTGGCTGCTAAAGACAACTGAATTCACTTGGCTAGAGTGCTCCAGACCAGAATAATTGTAACAAGGATTGTACAGCTGCCAGTATCAAAACCATATATGCAGAAAACCTCTGACTTTGCAGTCACTACTAAGCTATATACATCACATAAAAACAAAGGCTATAGTGCCAAGTCCAATTACATATATATATATGTGTGTGTGTGTGTGTGTGTGTGTATATCTATATGTACACACCAATTTTTATATTCATTTTATATATGTATTTGGATATTACTCTATATATCACCTTATGATTTAGAGAAAGGCTGAATATTTTCTCCCAAATAATTTTTTTAGTCATATCCTTTATCATAAGAAGAAACAAAAGAGGATATTTGAATAAATTTTCCAACAAGGCCTTTTTCTTAGGAATAAAGTGTAACTTCAGCCCACTGAAGTTTGTAATTCAAATCTGGTATAGCTGTGTGAGAAAACTGAATTATATTTGTAACAAGACTGTATATTGTGACTTGTCTTTATAGTATGACTTTTCAACTGTATGAACAAAAATGCTGAAAAATACTTTTTCTCTCTTAATTGTTATGTATTTATGTCTGAATTAGCTCATCCTTTATGTGTATCCCTTCAAAACTGATAGTTTGCCACGTTTTTCCATTTGGAGTAATTAGTTCTGAGTGGAGGAATTTATGATACAGTAGGGGCTTTGACCTCTTTATTGTACTGAGATATATTATCAAACTTCCAAGTCAGTAGGCTGCTAAGATATTGATTTTGTTTTCTGTGAACAAAATCAATGAGCAAAATTAAAATAAAAAAATCAATTCTTTCATTTCTGAATTGATTCAGGTTTTCTGCATGTACATTGTTTATTTAAACTTGATTGCTAGTCTGGAAATTTAGTAATTCTGCATAAAAATAAATTAATAACATATGCAAAGAAAGAAAATTGCAGTAAAAACATAGAGGGATGAGAAGGGAAAAGATGCAAAAGAGATCAAGAAAAACACAGTTTTCTATTAGAATGCATTGTTTAGGAATATCAGAGAACTATAAAGATTGGTACCAACAGTTCTGTCAAAAAAATCCACACACAGGTTTTGTCCTTTGCATTTTCCATCCCTTTTCTTTAGTTCAACTGATACTTAGAAATGGTGCATTAAATATCTGCAGTCCATGCATATTTTGTGAGTTGAAGTTTGTAAATCTTACCTAAAGATGAGAAAAAAAAAAGGAAAAAAACACCAAAATATTTAAGATGTAGCATTTTTCAGAAATAAATCCATTAACTATGCAAATATATTTGTGAAATTTTCAGCCTTTTTCTGAATATAGACATTATCTTAGAAAAAATTTTAACCTGGAACATGTAAAGGCATTGTTAAATACCTCTGATCAGATTCTTATCTCAAATATAGAAATTTTATTTCAATAAATTTTTTCTTCAACTGGAAATGAAATCAAAATTGTGTCTTCTGTGTTCATTGCAATTTCATTCTCTTGTATTTAATTTTCTGGTCAGAAGCAATTGAGAAGAAAGTACCCTAAAAAAAAAATAATTGTGCAACTATTGTAATTTTCAGATTTCAGAGAGTTTAGCAGTCAAGCAATTTGTATGGAATAAAAGCACTTTTATATTGCCTCCTGCTACAATACCAGTGGGGAAAGGGCACCAAAACAGTGGGAGGCCAAATGAAGAGGTTTTTTCTTCTGTTGGATTTACTTGCAAGATACTGGGAGCTTCAGAATTACAAGTGGCAATATAGCTTTTATGAACTATTTCTTTCCTCTTTGCCTCCTACGGCTGCTTCGTTGTTGGGTAGTTGTTGGGTCTTTTTTTATGTCAGAAAGAGGGAGTGAAAGATATTTGTGACAAGTGACATCCTACTTTCTGTTTGCTGTTGTCCTGCTTGGATGAAAGAAAAATACATCTATCTGATTCTCATTTTCCTATCTTTTAGGAAGAGGTTAATTTAAAGCTTTTAAAGCCAAATCTGAATTATCTTACTCATATGACCAGGCCAAATATACCCAGAGATTGTAAATATACCCAGAATCACTTTCTTTTTAATTGTTTTACACAAGAACACTAAAGAACAAGATGTCAGTAGAAAGCTATCAGGGAAGATGTGATACATAATTTTTTTAGCTAGTTATAAAACAAGTTAGATAAATTATTAATTGGAATATAATATGAAGTGGCAACCAGTGGGAAAGGGGGCTGTATGGCACAAGATCTCTTTTTCTCCTTGGAATCGTTCTTCTTCTAGTGGATGTGGGCTGTTACAATTTGTAGAGGAATTCTCAATGGAGCCAAACACAATTTTACACATAAATGGAGAAGTAGATATGGTTTTTGCAGTAATACTGAGCTTACTAAACTATCTGTCAAACCTAGACTAAAGGATTAAATTAAGTAAACTTGCACCACCCAGACCACACATTAGTCTCAGGGTGAACAATACAATTCAATTCGAGTAAATTGTTTTTGCAAAGGCTCATAAACAATTTAAAACCTTCACCTGAGATTTCTCAAGCTTATAAACAAACCTCTGTCTCTACTCTTCCTGCAAGCTTCATGTAGGTCTATAAGCACAGACTCTTTGATTCACCCACTCATCATTTAAAAACTCTGGACAATCCATGCTTTAACCCATTACTCATTTTACTCTTTGAGATTCATTCAATTGACTGAATTTTGCTGAGCCAGTAAAAGATAGCTTTGTGCTATCAAATGAACTGTCTAGATTTAAATTTTCAATGTATACTTAATTATGCATTCTTACAAACTCTGTATTATCTCCCTTTTCATTGGGGAAAAATTAAGCTATTGTGCCTGCAGATGTTATATCTGACTTTTGACATTTCATTTAGGGAAAACTATAAATATGTGAAATGCTGTTCCATCTTCTATGTTCTCAATATTTTACCAGAATCAACATTAAGAGCATATATGATGAATGTGACAAATATTTTAAATCCTTTCTATCACCATGAACATGCTTACAATTTCATTATTTAGCATTAAGCTCTTTGTTTTTGTTGGAATGTGTTCATGAAATATCAAGAAGCCACAATCAAATTCTATTCTCTGTCATACCCCAGTAGATTATTATTTCAGCCATGAGTTTTGCTTTGGTCTGTAGTTCCTAGGAATGGCATCTATCACAGGAAAACAGTTTGTTGCCCTTTCTAAGGAATTTATGGTGCTAATGAGGAAAAAACCAGAAGGTTTGTTATGACCCCTGATAGTCACCACAGAGCCCTCAATATTCTTCAGTGGTGGAATTAAAGAAAGGCATTAATGTTTCTACATTTAGTTTAAAATTAATTTTCTTCCAAATGAGATTAGTTTTCACATTTAAACAGTCTTAGTACTTAGTCTAGACTAAGACTTAGTACTTAGCTAGACTACTTAGTCTAGCCCAGTAACACTATTTTGAATCACAAGTGCCAATCAAGCCAATTAAAAAAAATCAATTTTTTTATTATTTACACATATAAATACTATATATACTTATATATTACTATGAGAAATATGACAGAGAAAAATGTTCTACAAGACTTTAATAAACCTGATTATGCTCTATAGCCTATTTTATCAGGCTTAATTATCTGTTTATGTTACATTTTGCAGAGTTTTATTCAGGAAAGCAGGATTTTCAATTGGCTTTTGACACAAAATGACCTTTCTTTAAACTGTGAAACTGTGTGCAGACAATTGTTTCTGCATAAAAGGCATCACTTCTTGAATATTTTCTCGAGAAATGTTATTTTAGCAAATAAGAGCAAAAGAGTGGTATATAAAGTAATTAACCTCATAAGAATGTGGGCAGAGTTCGATATCATAAATGTCCATCTGCTTTTTCTTTTTATAAGAATGATCTTTTTCTGTTGCTATCCAGCCCTGTACTGGGAGAATGGAAGAAGCATACAGGGAATAAAGATAATTCTAGCCAGTCTTGGCTTTCACCTCTGAGAAGGGAGTTAGCATGTAGCCTGTTACCCAGGCATAATGTTAACAGGTGAATTATGATTATTGTTAAGTTTGACATCTCACTTAGCTTCACAATCAGTAGGAACTAGGCATATGTGGGGACCCTTTCATTCAGCCTAAGTTGTTTTTCTAATATTTAGGATGAAACCTTCTTTGGTGTCTCTCTGAACATCTACAGAGACACCTAATCTCAGAGGAATTTT